CAGACGGGCATGTATATGTGCTTTCTTGAGTAGGGGGACCTTGCGGGCGCTGCAGGATTTCAGTCCTTCACGGTGTAGTGTGTTACCAATTGTTTTCTTGGTGACTATGGTCCCAGCTGCCTTGAGATCATTGACAAGATCCTCCCGTGTAGTTCTGGGCTGATTCCTCACCGTTCTCATGATCATTGCAACTCCACGAGGTGAGATCTTGCATGGAGCCCCAGGCCGAGGGAGATTGACAGTTCTGTTGTGTTTCTTCCATTTGCGAGTAATCGCACCAACTGTTGTCACCTTCTCACCAAGCTGCTTGGCGATGGTCTTGTAGCCCATTCCAGCCTTGTGTAGGTCTACAATCTTGTCCCTGACATCCTTGGAGAGCTCTTTGGTCTTGGCCATGGTGGAGAGTTTGGATTCTGATTGATTGATTGCTTCTGTGGACAGGTGTCTTTTATACAGGTAACACGCTGAGACTAGGAGCACTCCCTTTAAGAGTGTGCTCCTAATCTCAGCTCGTTACCTGTATAAAAGACACCTGGGAGCCAGAAATCTTTCTGATTGAGAGGGGGTCAAATACTTATTTCCCTCATTAAAATGCAAATCAATTTATAACATTTTTGACATGCGTTTTTCTGGATATTTTTGTTGTTATTCTGTCTCTCACTGTCCAAATAAACCTACCATTAAAATTATAGACTGATCATGTCTTTGTCAGTGGGCAAACGTACAAAATCAGCAGGGGATCAAATACTTTTTCCCCCTCACTGTACCAGTTTCATTTAAGGACCAAAAAATGTACAGCTGTCCCATATAGATTGCAAAATAGTTTGGAAGAGATTTCCGATGTACCGATTCCATGGCAAATGGTTTATGAACTGATTCACAATTTAAGTTATTATACACAATTCTTGTAAACAATAGAATGTTATTCATATGGGGGATACAACCATCACAGTTCTGAAGATTTCGCTGCGGAAAGACAGAATCATTAGATCATTTGTTTTGGTACTGTCCATACTGTATGTAGCTTGTTTTTGGTCTTAGGTTTGGGAATGGCTGAAGAATTGCAACATTTACCTGGAGCTAACTCTGCAAATAGCACTGCTGGGTGATTTAAAAAGTCAAAGTCAATCAAATCAAATCAAATCAAATCAAATCAAATTTTATTGGTCACATGCGCCGAATACAACAGGTGCAGACATTACAGTGAAATGCTTACTTACAGCCCTTAACCAACAGTGCATTTATTTTAAACAAAAAAGTAAGAATAAAACAACAACAAAAAAGTGTTGAGAAAAAAAGAGCAGAAGTAAAAATAAAGTGACAGTAGGGAGGCTATATATACAATAGAATAAAGTGACAGTAGGGAGGCTATATATACAGGGGGGTACCGTTGCATAGTCAATGTGCGGGGGCACCGGCTAGTTGAGGTAGTTGAGGTAATATGTACATGTGGGTAGAGTTAAAGTGACTATGCATAAATACTTAACAGAGTAGCAGCAGCGTAAAAAGTATGGGGTGGGGGGGCAGTGCAAATAGTCCGGGTAGCCATGATTAGCTGTTCAGGAGTCTTATGGCTTGGGGGTAGAAGCTGTTGAGAAGTCTTTTGGACCTAGACTTGGCACTCCGGTACCGCTTGCCGTGCGGTAGCAGAGAGAACAGTCTATGACTAGGGTGACTGGAGTCTTTGACAATTTTGAGGGCCTTCCTCTGACACCGCCTGGTATAGAGGTCCTGGATGGCAGGGAGCTTTGCCCCTGTGATGTACTGGGCCGTACACACTACCCTCTGTAGTGCCTTGCGGTCAGAGGCCAAGCAGTTGCCATACCAGGCGGTGATGCAACCAGTCAGGATGCTCTCGATGGTGCAGCTGTAGAATTTTTTGAGGATCTGAGGACCCATGCCAAATCTTTTTAGTCTCCTGAGGGGGAATAGGCTTTGTCGTGCCCTCTTCACGACTGTCTTGGTGTGTTTGGACCATGATAGTTCGTTGGTGATGTGGACACCAAGGAACTTGAAGCTCTCAACCTGTTCCACTACAGCCCCGTCGATGAGAATGGGGGCGTGCTCAGTCCTCTTTTTTTTCCTGTAGTCCACAATCATCTCCTTTGTCTTGGTCACGTTGAGGGAGAGGTTGTTGTCCTGGCACCACACGGCCAGATCTCTGACCTCCTCCCTATAGGCTGTCTCATCGTTGTCGGTGATCAGGCCTACCACTGTTGTGTCGTCGGCAAACTTAATGATGGTGTTGGAGTCGTGCCTGGCCATGCAGTCATGGGTGAACAGAGAGTACAGGAGGGGACTGAGCACGCACCCCTGAGGGGCCCCCGTGTTGAGGATCAGTGTGGCAGATGTGTTGTTACCTAACCTTACCACCTGGGGGCGGCCCGTCAGGAAGTCCAGGATCCAGTTGCAGAGGGAGGTGTTTAGTCCCAGGATCCTTAGCTTAGTGATGAGCTTTGATGGCACTATGGTGTTGAATGCTGAGCTGTAGTCAATGAATAGCATTCTCACGTAGGTGTTCCTCTTGTCCAGGTGGGAAAGGGCAGTGTGGAGTGCGATAGAGATTGCATCATCTGTGGATCTGTTGGGGCGGTATGCAAATTGGAGTGGGTCTAGGGTTTCTGGGATTATGCTGTTGATGTGAGCCATGACCAGTCTTTCAAAGCACTTCATGGCTACAGACGTCAGTGCCACGGGTCGGTAGTCATTTAGGCAGGTTATCTTAGAGTTCTTGGGCACGGGGACTATGGTGGTCTGCTTGAAACATGTTGGTATTACAGACTCAGTCAGGGACATGTTGAAAATGTCAGTGAAGACACTTGCCAGTTGGTCAGCACATGCTCGGAGTACACGTCCTGGTAATCCGTCTGGCCCTGCGGCCTTGTGAATGTTGACCTGCTTAAAAGTCTTACTCACATCGGCTACGGAGAGCGTGATCACATAGTCGTCCGGAACAGCTGGTGCTCTCATGCATGCTTCAGTGTTGCTTGCCTCGAAGCGAGCATAGAAGTGGTTTAGCTCGTCTGGTAGGCTTGTGTCACTGGGCAGCTCGCGGCTGTGCTTCCCTTTGTAGTCTGTAATAGTTTTCAAGCCCTGCCACATCCGACGAGCGTCAGAGCCAGTGTAGTATGATTCAATCTTAGACCTGTATTGACTCTTTGCCTGTTTGATGGTTCGTCGGAGGTCATAGCGGGATTTCTTATAAGCGTCCGGGTTAGAGTCCCGTTCCTTGAAAGCGGCAGCTCTACCCTTTAGCTCAGTGCGGATGTTTCCTGTAATCCATGGCTTCTGGTTGGGGTATGTACGTACGGTCACTGTGGGGACGACATCATCGATGCACTTATTGATGAAGCCAGTGACTGATGTGGTGTACTCCTCAATGCTGTCTGAAGAATCCCGGAACATGTTCCAGTCTGTGCTAGCAAAACAGTCCTGTAGCTTAGCATCTGCGTCATCTGACCACTTTTTTATTAGCCGAATCACTGGTGCTTCCTGCTTCAGTTTTTGCTTATAAGCAGGAATCAGGAGGATAGAGTTATGGTCAGATTTGCCAAATGGAGGGCGAGGGAGAGCTTTGTATGCGTCTCTGTGTGTGGAGTAAAGGTGGTCTAGAGTTTTTTCCCCTCTGGTTGCACATTTAACATGCTGGTAGAAATTAGGTAGAACGGATTTAAGTTTCCCTGCATTAAAGTCCCCTGCTACTAGGAGCGCTGCATCTGGATGAGCGTTTTCCTGTTGATTAATGGCCTTGTACAACTCATTCAGTGCAATCTTAATGCCAGCATTGGTTTGTGGTGGTAAATAGACAGCTATGAAAAATATAGATGAAAACTCTCTTGGTAAATAGTGTGGTCTACAGCTTATCATAAGATACTCTACCTCAGGCGAGCAAAACCTCGATCAATAATATAATAATACTCTTAGCAAAAAAATTATATTTAATTTACAATCTGTAGAAACTATATGGCAAATATAAATCAAAACTGGATGGTGTTGAGTGGAGCTGAAGGGTGGTACTAAAAATAACAAGATAACTAATGTAAAATATACTGTGTCCGTAAAATGTATATGGTATCTATAAGCTGGAAGTAGAAGGCTAAGTGTTGTTATCCATTAGTTTACTCCAATTAGGGGAGGGGATTTTAGAAACACTTCAAATAAGGGTTGTGTTTCGTGTAGGCTCACCCTGGTGTGACGTTTTGATAACTGTGTAAATTTCTCTATGACAAGGTGACATTTATCTATATATTTGCTTGTATTTACCCCCGAAAAAGAAATGCTAATTAGCTGCTAATGTGGCTATCATAAAGAACTACAAATGCCATGATGATCTGGACGAGACTGCCCGAATCGAGGCAAAGGTAAGAATCTCTGGATTAACTATCTAATGTTAGCTAAATGTAGCAATGAATAAATTGGCTACATTTCTTTAAATTGACAATTCTGTGAACTGTTTTAAATTGACACAATACCTGTCAACAAAGGTGTCAGCTAGAGATGACATGCAGGAGCTTGCAGGGATTTGTAGTTTTGCATGATGTCTACTTTGACGCTAAATAGCATTTTTGAATCTGAGAGTAAATAGAGCAAAATATATTGATAAAAGTCTCCTTGTCCGAGAGAGATTTACAGGGTTATCAAAACGTCACGTCAGGGTAAGCCTACACTTGACACAGCCCTTATTTTAAGTGTTTCTAAAATACCCTATGGGAAAAACGATTGGAACCATTTCCCTGTTTGACCGCTAGGTTTTATGGGTATTACGACACCACCTCTGTGTGGCTCTATGATTGATCCTCAGTGCATTGATTATGGGAAGGTGTGCATCCGACGCAATGTGATGACGTTAATTATAGCGCCAGGATATGTGAAGGAGAACTGACTTTTTTTTGGTCATTTTGCTTTTATGAATGTTTTCACGAATTAAAGTGGTCAAGGAATTACCACACCACGACATAATCTCTTCGTTTGAACACAACCATTGACACTGTCCCCTCGCCATGGTAGAGGATGACGATTTAACGCCAAATCTTATGTCAAACCAAATGTGGAGCAGCAATGGCGAGTTTGTGCCTCCTGACGGAATATGCTGGGTGTCTGTTCTGTCCTGTTTACTGCTTGCCTGCTCTTACGTTGGGAGCTTATATGTATGGAGAAGTGACTTACCCAGGTAAGCCTCGTATTTATTCAATTTCTTTACTTCCTTGATTCGTAGAAAATGCTGTAGTTAGCTAGCCTGTCGGCGCATGCTAGGTGGTTGCTAGCTAAATTAGGGAACTAACGTTAAATAGCTAACATGGCTTTCGTGCAGCAGTCAGGGGGCAATTCCGGGAACAGAATGACGCTGATTTGTCACCTTAAAATTTATGCCAAACAAAAATAATTCCAAAGTTAAAGAAACCATACAACTCTATGCACAAGGACTACTTTTAACAACTTCCCCTGAACATTTTACAAGAACATTTACTTAAGAACAGTGCAGATGTAAAGTTTCATAACAGAAAATGAAAGCAAAAATCTCCCTCAGTTTATGTGACCAAGGTTCCCAAAAATATCTACTCTGAATTAAGATTCAAAGATGTATCCAGAAAGAATGGGGTGTCAGCTATGAAATGACAACTTGAGTTTTAAAAACTATTTTGGTTATATACTACATTAAGTGAAGTGGATTAACACCTGATAACAGACATGGGTCCCTGAACAGAAATGCATAATTATGGGTATGTGATGTATATCCCCCCCCCCCCCCCCCCCCCCCCACCCCAAACAAGAGCAAATTTGGTTGGTACTGACCAAATCTCAACCAGTCATAGATTTTCCAATTTTCACTAGTTTGGACATCAAATCACAGTAGAGTACAGTACAGAACAGGTACACCAGAGTAGAGTTCAGTACAGAACAGTATAGTTAAGTACAGTACAATACAGTAATTATACTGTACTCTAGGGTGCTCTACTGTATAGAACTGTACTGACCTATAATATACTTTACTGTAATGTACTAAACTCTACTGTACAATACTGACCTATATGCTACTATACTCCCGAGTGGCACAGCGGTCTAAGGCACAGCATCTCAGTGCTAGAGGCGTCACTACAGACCCTGGTTCGATTCCAGGCTGTATCACAATCCGGCCGTGATTGGGAGTCCCATAGGGCGGTGCACAATTGGCCCAGCATCGTCTGGGTTTGGCTGGGGTAGGCCGTCATTGTAAATAAGAATTTGTTCTTAACTGACTTGCCTAGTTAAATAAAGATTAAATAAAAAGAGTAATACAAAAATACTCTACTTTTATTTTCTTTGCTGTACTGTAATGTGCTATCCAAACTTGTGAAACATAGACATCTATGATTGGTTCAGATTTGGACTGATCAATGTAAGGTGTCAGTCGATTCTTAGTGGTTGAGGATGCTTATTACAGTAAATGGAAAGAGAGGGGGCTCATGGGTAGGTGTCAGTAAGAGGTGATATTAACTGTAGAGAGAGACAGGGACAGAGACAGGACGGGGTTGTCCAGACTGTTTTCAGAATTATGAGCTGAACATAACAGTATGCCAGTGGAAGGGAGGACAGTAGCAGGTGACCCAACTGTGGTTTTTGACTACTATCATTTCCCATTTTAGCCAATTCAATTGCAATCATTCTGTTATGGATTTTGTAACAGAATGCCACATTTTAATCACTTAATAAGTCATAAACAAAATTGATAGTCAGTAAAATACTAGTTGGTAGGTCTACCTTAACGTGTTACTTCTGTGAACTTTCATTATCCTCCCTCCTCATGAGGGAGAGAAATTAGAAAATATCTTAAAGATGTGTTTTTTTTAATAACAGTGACAATACACAAGGCAATATTTCTTAAACGTAAAGAAGGCAAATAATTTCAGCAAAATTAAATATCAATGTTGATATTAGTTGGCAGGGGTCTTAACTTCATTATTCTGTTTTTATGTATTGATAATAGGCCTACCTTAATACATTTTCTGGTAGATTTGATCTAAGACCCCGGCTCCATCTGTTTGACCAGAAATCAAAGCCTTCGCTTCTTCCATTATTTGCTGGTAAATTAGCAAGCAAGCAAACTCCTCTGGGTTTATTTATTTTGTTTCCTGCTGAACTGCAGTGTTCTTGCGCTAGCTTCTGGAGGGGTTTGTTGACAAAATTTTAATTTTGACACGTGTCTGCTTGTGTGTCCATCACGTGCTTGCCCCCAGGGACCACCCGGCCGTTATCAAGAGGCGATTCACCAGTGTCCTGATCGTATCTGCCGTGTCGCCTGTCTTCGTGTGGGCATGGAAAATGTACACTGGTGTGATGGTGAGTCTCTACACAGCACTATCTCAGCTATAGGCTGACTGCTGCTATAGGCTGACTGCTATACTGCCCTACAAAGGCTAAGTGCAGTAACTACGAATTTGGTAAAAATCTTTGATCTGTTGTAATCAAGGGAGAACAACCCTTCTCACTGAAGCCACGGAAGTTCAGGGCCGACCGCGGTAATGCAGGCATTGTTTGCAGAAAACAGGATCCCCCATAATAGTGAATGGGAAAATTGCAATCTTTGTGTAAATATATCATTTTAAGACAATGATGGTACCAATAATTGTTTCTAATACACCTGATGTATGTCCTTGAACCGACTATTAAAAAATCGCAGAGAAGAAGTTCTAAGGATAATTTAGTTGAGAGGGGGCAACACTGAGCTAGCCAGCACCATCATATCCTGGGTCTTTTCTCAATTGGTTGCTCAACTCCTGCGTCCTCTCTGGCCTCATTTTGAAAAAGGTCAAAGGTAATCAAGGAGATGCGTCAAGGAGAGGGAAAGTGGACTAAAATGCGGTTGTAGGAAATGAGACCCCTTCTCCAATCGCGGGTCATCGGGCAAATTACGTTTACAGGGTGGAATCCCAAAATAAATGTATAAAGTGATGTTTTTTTTTGTTGCTAGTTGTGCAATACATTTTATAGATAGAAAGATAAGGATAATATAATGTTTAAATGTTAGAGAAAACAATAGCTGATTCAAAGGGGATGTGGCAGATTTCAAAACTCGTCCACAAAGGACTCTGGTAGGATACACTTGAGCTTCCTCGCCAAAAGGAGACTGTTTGCCTACTAATGTATTGACACTCTCGTCGACCACTTATCGGTTTCCGGGTCACGGAGGAGAGAGGATGGACTTTTTCCCAAATGAGAAAAGGCCCTGGAGTAGCTCAAACTGTACATGTTATGTCTCCATGAGACGCCATCTTAACTGACTTCATTTGGCTTCAATGCGCTATTGAGTCTTTACATAGGAATGAATGGTGTCATGTGATCGATGGCTTTGTACTTTCATATATACAGTAATTGATTGTAATGGCCAGGTATATTATCTGATTAATGTGGTATTTAGTTTCCTGACACAAGAACAAGCCAGTCGATCAGAATATATCATGAAGTACCAGAAATTGCTGCCTGTATACTAGGGCTGTGCAACCCCCCCCCCCCCCCGTGACTAGACTAGCAGCCATTGTCTCTCACTCCTCCCAGCTGCAGCAACCACCACAGAACATCAGTGTTTATTGCGCTGTCCATGTTGCTGAAGCTGCAACATAATTACAGCCATTTCTGACTGAGAAGTTCTGTTACTGAAATCCCTCATTTGTTTAGGAAAAACATTCCCTATTCCCTCAACCCTTGCTCTCATGTATGCATCATATGCACGTGACCAAAGACCTATTCGCACGGGACTAGTATTACCAGAGAGTCTGTTGTAACATTTTTTTTGTCAAGCCTTTATTACAGCAAAGACTAAAAACAGTCGCATTCATTCGTGAATGCAATTTCCGAAATGGAACTGTTTATTTATTGTTTAAGCTAATTATTCAACGCTCGCTTTATTTTATTTTAAAACTAAAATGCTTGATTACATTTCAAATCATGAATGACGCGTATGCTGTGTGATGACATGAACGAATGAATGATTGATTGATATACAGTAGCCTATAGAAGTATTGAAACAAAGGCCTAAGTAAGTTACGGTATTAAGACTAAACAGGATATGCTTTTAGGCCTACAGCTCGACTGTGGTTATACAAGGCTACTCTACTAAGCCTACTAATGATAATGACATTACTTATTATTATAATAGTAATAACAATAAGAAGGAGATCAAGAACAAGGAGCGTTATTATTGTAAATATAATTTCCCCGACAATTTGGAACAGTGTACACACTAAATAAATTATAAATAGAACAGCCTCTCTGGTATTAACGAATAAAAGTGTAAAGCCTTTATTACACCAAAGCAAAGATTAAAAACAGACGAATTTGTGAAATTGTTTACTTGTCATGTCGTTGCGTTAGGCTTGGTGCTCACGGAATCAGTAGGCTATTAAACAAAGACTCAAACAGGCAACAGAAGCAGGATCTGTCTTATTTCTGTAGATGTATTGATGGTTTATAAAGCCAGGCACATTTAATAGTTAGGTTATTGATTATAGACCTAATCAAGTTTGGGTTTCCTCTCTTCTCACTTAGACAATTAGGCATGGGCTGTTTTCTCATCTCCTCATTCTGCTGCTGCCTCCGCCGCATTGTTCTCAACACCAATATGCTGGTTAACTTTGCTATTATGCACATAGCAACATGGTCTTGGAAAGGCGCCAATTCAACAGCGCGCTGATGTGTTTCAGAGCCGTAGGACAGCGACCTCTATCCAACGAGGGAGAAAGAGCATTTGTTATAAAATAATATTAGTTTTATTAGTGTTGCACCATTGTTCTTATGTAATATAACATTTAACATTTTAGTCATTTAGCAGACGCTCTTATCCAGAGCGACTTACAGTTAGTGAGTGCATACATACATTTTTTTATTTTTCATACCCCCCGTGGGAATCGAACCCACAACACTGGCGTTGCAAATGCCATGCTCTACCAACTGAGCTACATCCCTGCTGGCCATTCCCTCCCCTACCTGTATATAACCATATTCAATTTCAGTAGCACGTCTTAGACTGATGGACTGTGCCTTCCCCACACCCTCCACAGTGGATCAGTCCACTTAGCACGAATCAGACATGTCTTGTACACCATGGTATATATAAATATATATATATATATTAGTCTTAATTTTTTTTGCAACTGCTCGACTAAAGAAATCTTGGTCGACCAACAGCCTATCGACCAGTCGACTAAATGGGGTCAGCCCTACTGTATACACAGAAAAGTATTTTGAAGTCAGATTTTACAGTTTTCTTTACGTGCAGTAGTTTTTTTTTTACAAGCCAGTCGGTCAGAATGTATGTATGTATGTATGTCTTGAAGTACCAGAAATTGCTGTCCGTATATAGACAGGACAATACTTTGAAATGATATTTTACTGCACTTTACCTTTGTAGGGCAGTATAGATGACAAAGCTAATGGTTAGTAATGACAGATGAGCCTGTGTTGATGGTTTCAAGTGCCTTGGAAGAGCAGTCTGCTGTAGTTTTGTATGGGGGAAGAATGGGTTATATTAGCTAATTGCATCACATTTCCCCACTGTATTAGAAAAGGTAGAGCAGCTTACTACAATTGAACCATACAGAACAGCTGCACATTATGCCCAGCTTTCCAAGAAACCTGTTGCCCTGGCCTACAATGGACTTGATACATTGTAACAGCAATCCCACATCTGGGTGAATTCCCCCCCCCCCATACACTTTTTATCTGAAATCCTCATCACCCACTGATTCACTTGTCATATAGCAGATTTAAATGTTTTGAGCTAGTAGTATGTCAATATTTACTTCAGAAATGATACTGAACAACAATATTAACGCAACATGTAAAACATTGGTCCCATGTTTCATGAGCTGAAATAAAAGATCCCAGAAATGTTCCATACGCACAAAGCTTATTTTCGCTCAGATTTTGTGCACATTTTTTACATCCCTGTTAGTGAGCATTTCTCCTTTGCCATGATAATCCATCCACCTGACAGGTGTGGCATATCAAGAAGCTGATTAAACATAATGATCTTTACACATGCTGGGGAAAATAAAAGGCCACTCTAAAATGTGCAGTTTTGTCACACAGCACAATGCCACAGATGTTTTGAGGGAGCGTGTAATTGGCATGCTCACTGCAGGAATGTCCACCAGAACTGTTGCCAGAGAATTTAATGTTCATTTCTCTACCATAAGCTGCCTCCAATGCCGTTTTTGAGGCCTGCGTACTCACCAGACATGTTTGGGATGCTCTGGATCGACATGTACGACAGCGTGTTCCAGTTCCCGCCAATATCCAGCAACATCGCACAGCCATTGAAGAGGAGTGGGATCACAAGCCACAAGCAACAGCCTGATCAACTCTATGCGAAGGAGATGTGTTGCGCTGCATGAGGCAAATGGTGGTCAAACCAGTTACTGACTGGTTTTCTGATCCACGTCCCTACCTTTTTTAAAGGTATCTGTGACCAACAGATGTGTATCTGTATTCCCAGTCATGTGAAATCCATAGATTAGGGCCTAATTTACCTATAAGAACTGTAACTCACTTTTATATTTTTGTTCAGCGTAACTATGCCATACATAGCCTATTAATATAACACAGCTTTGGATTTCACCCAGTCTCAAAAGTGAATTGTTTTTGCACTGACTGTTTTACAGTATTTTACTGTGAACCTGGCAATCGAAAAGCCCCAATCAACAAGATGTGAGTTGTGTCCACTCCGGCAGCCTACCCAGCTCCGCTACTAAAATACAGTTTTCTACAGCGCATTTGGTAACAATTACCAAGCAAATTACATTGGTTGTCCCTCAATTAATAAAGCCTATGATTTGCCGTGCAGATGTAGCCTACAAATATTGGCGCGAGCAGCTGCGTCTCTCGCACTGTTGGCACACACAGTATCTGCGCATGTGCACAGGTTCATTCACACTGTTCACAGCGTTTTAGCCAGGGCACCAAAACAGTGGCGTAGTTGAGCATCGCGCTTCAGTGCTCTTAGTTGTTGCATCTTTTTTTATTAATTTTTTTATTTCACCTTTATTTAACCAGGTAAACCAGTTGAGAACAAGTTCTCATTTACAACTGCGACCTGGCCAAGATAAAGCAAAGCAGTGCGATAAAAACAACAACACAGAGTTACATATGGGGTAAAACAAAACAAAGTCAAAAAAAATACAACAGAAATACATATATATACAGTGTGTGCAAATTTAGCAAGTTATGGAGGTAAGGCAATAAAATAGGCTGTAGTGCAAAGTAATTACAATTAGTATTAACACTGGAATGATAGATGTGCAAGAGATGATGTGCAAATAGAGATACTGGGCAACAAATGAGCAAAATAAATAACAATATAGGGATGAGGTAGTTGGGCGGGCTAATTTCAGATTGGCTGTGTACAGGTGCAGTGATCGGTAAGGTGCTCTGACAACTGATGCTTAAAGTTAGTGAGGGAGATAAGTGTCTCCAGCTTCAGAGATTTTTGCAATTTGTTCCAGTCATTGGCAGCAGAGAACTGGAAGGAATTGCGGCCAAAGGAGGTGTTGGCTTTGGGGATGACCAGTGAGATATACCCGCTGGAGCGCAGACTACGGGTGGGTGTTGCTATGGTGACCAATGAGCTAAGATAAGGCGGGGATTTGCCTAGCAGTGATTTATAGATGGCCTGGAGCCAGTGGGTTTGGCGACGAATATGTAGTGAGGACCAGCCAACAAGAGCGTACAGGTCATAGTGGTGGGTAGTATATGGGGCTTTGGAGACAAAACGGATGGCACTGTGATAGACTACATCCAATTTGCTGAGTAGAGTGTTGGAGGCTATTTTGTAAATGACATCGCCGAAGTCAAGGATCGGTAGGATAGTCAGTTTTACGAGGGCATGTTTGGCAGCATGAGTGAAGGAGGCTTTGTTGCGAAATGGGAAACCGATTCTAGATTTAACTTTGGATTGGAGATTCTTAATGTGAGTCTGGAAGGAGAGTTTACAGTCTAACCAGACACCTAGATATTTGTAGTTGTCCACATACTCTAGGTCAGACCCGTCGAGTGTAGTGATTCTAGTCGGGTGGGCGGGTGCAAGCAGCGTTCGGTTGAAGAGCATGCATTTAGTTTTACTAGTGTTTAAGAGCAGTTGGAGGCTACTGAAGGAGTGTTGTATGGAATTGAAGTTTGGAGGTTTGTTAACACAGTGTCCAATGAAGGGCCAGATGTATACAAAATGGTGTCGTCTGCGTAGAGGTGGATCTGAGAGTCACCAGCAGCAAGAGCGACGTCATTGATATACACAGAGAAAAGAGTCGGCCCAAGAATTGAACCCTGTGGCACCCCCATAGAGACTGCCATAGGTCCAGACAACAGGCCCTCCGATTTGACACATTGAACTCTATCTGAGAAGTAGTTGGTGAACCAGGCGAGGCAGTCATTTGAGAAACCAAGGCTATTTAGTCTGCCAATAAGAATGCGGTTGTTGACAGAGTCGAAAGCCTTGGCCAGGTCAATGAAAACGGCTGCACAGTACTGTCTATTATCGATCGTGGTTATAATATCGTTTAGGACCTTGAGCGTGGCTGAAGTGCACCCATGACCAGCTCGGAAACCGTATTGCATAGCGGAGAAGGTACGGTGGGATTCGAAATGGTTGGTGATCTGTTTGTTGACTTGGCTTTCAAAAACTTAGCCAGGTGGAAAGCATGGCCAGCCGTAGCAAAATGATTGTTGAAATTCTCGATTATTGTAGATTTATCGGTGGTGATAGTGTTTCCTAGCCTCAGTGCAGTGGGCAGCTGGGAGGAAGTGCTCTTATTTTCCATGGACTTTACAGTGTCCCAAAACTTTTTGGAGTTAGTGCTACAGGATGCAAATTTCTGTTTGAAAAAGTTAGCCTTTGCTTTCCTAACTGCTTGTGTATATTGGTTCCTAACTTCCCTGAAAAGTTGCATATCGCGGGGGCTATTTGATGCTAATGCAGTACGCCACAGGATGTTTTTGTGCTGGTCAAGGGCAGTCAAGTCTGAGGAGAACCAGGGGCTATATCTGTTCTTAGTTCTGTATTTTTTGAATGGGGCGTGTCTATTTAAGATTGAGAGGAAATTACTTTTAAAGAACAACCAGGCATCCTCTACTGATGGAATGAGATCTATATCCATCCAGGATACCTGGACCAGGTCAATTAGGAAGGCCTGCTCGCTGAAGTGTTTTTGGGAGCGTTTGACAGTGATGAGGGGTGGTCGTTTGACCGCGGACCCGTTACGGACGCAGGCAATAAGGCAGTGATCGCTGAGATCCTGGTTGAAGACAGCGGAGGTGTATTTAGAGGGTAAGTTAGTCAGGATGATATCTATGAGGGTACCCATGTTTACGGATTTAGGGTTGTACCTGGTAGGTTCGTTGATAATTTGTGTGAGATTAAGGGCATCTAGTTTAGATTGTAGGATGGACGGATCTACTTCATATTGCTGAGTCTTCCTTTAAATTACACAACTTTCCCGAGGCCTTTATAGTCTATCGTCTAGTTAGGCTATAACACAGAAAATTATATATTTTGTGAAAACTGCACTGTGCTTTTAATGTTGCGGGGGAAGAAAAACATCAAAACATATTTCGGTTAGGGATTTTTCTTAACGTTAAGGATCCCAATTTTGTTTAAAAGTTTTAACGTTTAAATGTTCACACGCCTAATACACATGAAAACATTTCCATGAATTCCATCAATATGTCTCCTCATGTTCTTCCACAGCCTGGTCCCTCGTTGCTGGCTCTGATGGGCATTCGCTTCGAGGGCCTCATCCCAGCCATCATACTGCCTCTGCTGCTCACCATGGTAATAGAAACAAGAGACTCTCTTTGAACGATCTCTGCATATGGTCTGACCTGTAGTTGACCTCTGACCTTTGCTCTGGTAGGTGCTGTTCCTTGGCCCCCTTATCCAGCTGGCTATGGACTGCCCCTGGGGCTTCATGGATGGGATACGAGTGACCTTCGGTGAGATACTGTCTGGAGATTATTTTTCACCCAATATGTCTATTACTGTGTTATCCTGGAGTGGAGATTATTCACCTCTGCTATGGCCTAAATCTTAACCTAAGATTTGCACGCTTAATTTGAGTTTCGTTGAAACCTCCCATTGACACCAATGCATGATTTATGAGTTAAGTGTGCCAATCTCAAGGTAGGATTCAGCCCTAAGTGCTTCCATTTTTCCTAGATGTGTACAGTATCTCTCTCACACACAACATTATCGCATACAGCATCTCTCTAAAGCTTTCTCTCTGTTCCACAGACCCGTGGTTCTGGGCTCTGTGCCTCAGTGACATGCGTTGGCTGAGGAACCAAGTGGTGGCCCCTCTGACCGAAGAGCTGGTGTTCAGGGCCTGTATGCTGCCAATGCTGGTACCCTGCACCAGTCCTTCCACTGCCATCTTCACCTGCCCCCTCTTCTTCGGAGTGGGTGAGTCCCACCAATTTACAGCACAGGCGGATCTTGTAGATCTTGCCTCAATCACAGCTGAAAAAAAAAAAGCAATTAAATTAGAACAACCCTTACAATGTGTGTGTCTGATATGTCCGTTTTATGTCGGTGCATGTACTAAAGATGTTGGCTGACATTTTCGTCACACAAAAGAGCACAGATCTGAGTAAAGAAAACAACCTAAAACTCCTTATCTGGAGCACAATTTTAAATTGGAACTTTTCTTCAAAGATGAGCGTTAAAAGGGGAATATTGTTTAACCAGTGTTTTGTAAACCGGTTGATGCAATTGATGCGATCAATCGCGAGTTGCAGCATTCTGAACTCTCATAGGATAATGTGCCCTTCCCATCTATTTGAAATATAATGGTTATTTTGCTTGTGCAAAATGTCAACCGTTATCTTCACAGCCCACTTTCATCATGTGATCGAGCTGCTGCGTTTCAGACAGGGCACCGTGTCTGGGATCTTTCTCGCTGCAGGTAAAGACCATACGATATTCATTGTTTTTCTACCTTCACCTCCATGTTAGTTTGTTATACCTTTCTTTTCCATATACCATTAGATTGTATATGATTGGTTAGTTAATGACTGGGTGTACTGTTTGCTTTGCAGTGTTCCAGTTCTCCTACACCGCTGTCTTTGGAGCTTACACTGCCTTCATATTTATCAGAACCGGTGAGCCTACAGTTTCTCTCTTTCTGGTGTACAACACACGCCTAATATGTGATTCATTTCATTTAAGATTGCATTTATGTAGAGCTTTCTTTATGTCTCAAGGCACTTCACATTGTATGGGGCTAACTCACCCCGTCCACCACTACTGTGTACTGTAGTACCAACCTGTATGCATTATATGCAGTCTTGTCACCCCCTTCCCCTCTGGTCCTCAGGTCACCTGGTGGGGCCGGTGCTGTGCCACTCGTTCTGTAACCACATGGGCTTCCCTGCCCTTGGCATGGCCCTGGAGCACCCCCACCGCTTTACCGTCCTCTCCTGCTACCTGCTGGGGGTCCTCCTCTTCCTCCTTCTCCTCTTCCCCCTCACAGACCCCATCTTCTACAGCCTGCCCACCCCCGTCTGCACCCTGGCCTCCGTGCCCAGCTCTCTCTGCATCTCCTGATCCAACCCCCACAAACACCCCTCTGTATGAGATGGACCGATCCACTGAGCGTGTCGCCACCACCAGCCAAAAGGAGGAGCGGTCCAAGTGGTCCAAGAATGAGGGGTGTTTTAGCTCTTCGGTCATGCCCGCTTGGGTGTGCTTTCTCTGGTGGGACATGAGTAGGTGAGCAGAGGGGAGGGTTTAGGGTATGTCAGGTCAGTTATGGGCTGTCTCTACTATGTATGCTGCTAGAGGGAGCAGGATAACTTAAATAGCCATTCCTTATGTTCAGGTCGCATTGGCTTTCAGTCAGTCAGCCAGTCAATCAGTCATGTGGTATGTAGTGTAGACTCAACAAGGAACACTATCTGGCTATGACACAAGGCGCTGTAGTAGTAGTAATACATTCTGGTGGTGAATAGGTCAGTGTTTTCATAGGTCCTAGATGCTGAATGAGAGTATTTAAAAACACATCTGCATGTTTCTATAATGTAGTGTTTATTTGTTTTAATGGTGGTGGATTTATTGGTTTGAGGGTTGGGTTGGATTGTTACTATTGTAAGGGGTTGGACGTGCACATTGTTTTGGTTTCTATGACAGTTTAGCCACAATTCTCTTTTTACTCGGGCTGATGTTTGAATTGGCCACAAAGCCTTTCTTTCCAACTGTTTAAGACGCCAGACAATTTGTGTTAGGCGATATTAACAAAGGTTACAGTCTTAACCCAGCCCTGAATTCAATCATTCACTCTAGTTGACGCTCATTCCAAATATCCATTCCAAGTCATGCAGATAGAAGCCTATAATCACTTATCTAACAATACCATTGCTAATTTGTTGGGCCTGGAGTTTTTCCCTTGGAAAAACTCTGGGCCCCTACCATTCGCTTCACACACAGTTCTACCCAGGGTTATCCATGTTCATTTTATTTGAGTGTTTGAAGGGGGAATGACCTTAAGCTGGGGTGCGATGACAGACCGTTTCCCCTTCAAGGGACTCAAACCCTCTATAACACTCAGGTGAAGTCATATGTATGTAGGTTTGAATGCTATCTACCCACTACTTAGCATGCTGCTACATGGTGCGGATGTCAAACAAGACGTCGCGTTTACATTCTTCACACACACACACACACACACACACACACACACACACACACACACACACACACACACACACACACACACACACACACACACACACACACACACACACACACACCAAGCTATACTCCAAAATAAGATAATGTACAGACTCAGACAGTGTTACATCGCAATGTTTATTCACTCACTCACTCATCGAAACTGATACTTTGCATTGTTTTTTAAAAATACGTTATTTATTTGACCAGGCTGTGACCATTATAGTCCATTTCACTATATAGACAGGGCGTTTAGGTGAAAATGTTTTTTCTTTTATAGTTTTTTTTTTGGCATCTCCATGTCATGCTTTAGAATCAAATCCAATTTTATTGGTCACATACACATAGTTATCAGATGTTACTGCGGGTGTAGCGAAATGCTTGGTGGGTTGTTGATTTTTACGGGGAACGCTAATGGATTTTTCCCTTTTATGAACCCGGCGTAATACTATATAACAATTCCAATTGACTAGAACAGAAGTGTAGTGTGGTTTATAAACTAGCAGATTGAATCACACTGAATGTATTGAAATCGGATACCAAGGCAAATGAAGTAACTGATCATTTTGTAAACAGACTTCACTGTGTAAATTAGGTCCATATCTTTGGAGGCACCTGCAAAAGGCTCTAACATTCACTGACAGAAAGATGGATCTGTGAAGCTTTCTACCACAGCAGCGAGGAGTTGTCAGTCAGCATGTTTGCTGTATAAGCTATGAAGTAGTTACATTATACTCTTCAGCAATAACTTAGTGGATGGAAAGGACCAAAATCAGGGAATTATCTGAAATGGGTGTATATATGTGAATAAATAAAATCTATATCCCCATTCCTGTCGTTTAGAGATGAAATGTTAAATACTGTGGTGCTTGGAGGTTTTGACATCAGATGATTTTAATGATCAGCCAGTATTTTGAATAGATTGTTTATGTTTAAGCCGACCTCAGATGGGCCATATATCCCAGAGTTGAAGGTTTTAATAGACATTCTCTTGAATGAACCTGCATGGTGCATGCATTCAGACCAGCTGTAATGATCTAAAATGTACAACAGAGAGCGCCAGAGTACCATGTCTGGGTGTTGTGCTGTAGAAATGTGAATCACAGGAACCTGGGACCTTCGCACATCTGCTCATTAGGTTTCTCTGATGGGTAGTCATCCGTCACTTGAAAAACCAATCCGTTTTTATTCTGTTATTTCCTCTTGCCTCTTTTCCTCTCACCAGGTGACGCCCCGTTCCAATAGAAAAGACGGATATAGTCCTAGAGAGGAAACGGGTGTTTGACCCTAAGAACTGAGATAGCTACCTGTCTCGCTGTTGAGCATTCTTTCTGATCAATAAAAAAAAATACTCTAGCCTCACTTTTAGAGTCAAACTCTAAACTATCTCGCTGTCTCCGTCTCACATCCAAAATAGATGCCCTTGAATGTTTTGGCCAAGGCCCTCAAGCACCATTTTGGGAGTTCAATTACCCCTACACAGACAGGCTGTCATGTTCAGGTAACTGGTAGATTTACTTTGTTGTCGAAATGTACACATACAAGACTCAATGACGAGGCTGTGTTGAATTTGTATTGGGTAGGGTCAGAAGAAGCACATCTAGAGAGTAGAGAGAGACGTTTCATCAATACAATCAAATTTAATCTGCGTTCAACCGTAGCTTATCATTCTCCCACATCAACAACCTTTTGGAGAACAGATATTTTCGTAAAGATTGTCACTGGCTCGTATTGTCTGAATTCTGCCTTAGGATTCACAGGTTAGGCTATGTCATTGACTTGAATTGAAATCCGGTAAACATAAGTAGGCTTCACTTGGGGAGAAATGCTGACTCCACTTTCCTGCTGAAAACAACTAAAACACTTTCACATTGTATGTATTTTTCTTAAATTTTCTCTCTCCAAAATGTCCTAGCAAAACAATTGCATCTACAGCACTCTCAAAGTAGTGACTCACAGTATATGCATAGAGCAGAAACACAGTGGTAGAGACAGGAATATATATTTTTGTAACTTAATATGTAGCTCTGTGCTATTTTAGTAAAACAACAAGAAGAATGATTTAAAGCTTGGATTTTTCAGACTAGTTGAGTACGTGCTGTGACTCTGACCTGGTTGTAAAAAACAAACAAAAAGACGATCCAGATGTTTATATTGAAGACTTTATTTTGTAAATCAAATCTATTTTGGTGACATGGACTTGAATGTTCTGATATGTGCATGTGTATTTTGTGTGTGCAATGCAATTTTTGGGAGACTTACCCATCTTGAACGGACAGTGTTTTATGATGACAATCTTTTATGGGATCTTATAGAAATCACACACTGCAAAAATCTCAGCATTTGTAAATAAACAAGCTAATTTTATAAATCGTCTCTAGGTGTTTTGTCATGTTTTTTACCCTCTTTGTGCCCAATGTTTTGTTTTTCACTTAAATCAGTGACTTAATCGTTGAATTCCTGGATCTGTCCCCAGTTATTGAGTGCTCTATGCACTGAGTAATGATTGTATTGAGTCTGTGTCTAACTGATGTCAAGTTTCCAAACATCCCTTTGTTTAGGAACAACATATCAAAGTTTAGTGCTGAAAGTGAGCCAACCATATAAGCTAAAATTAAATTTGTCTTGATTTTCTTTTAATTACCAGGCAGATATATTTCCTTTCAGTCCTTATACAAATACTTTAGTTGTGTAACAAATCTGTTTATTGTTCCTGGCAGACTATTGTGTCATAAGAAAAGGCCAGCAGATTATTTAATCATTAGTTAAAGGCCAGGCTCCATTCAATGGTCCTGTTGACACTTTTACACGATGGAAAGTTGTTGTGTCTCTTTGTTATAGTCATCCTGGGGATGAGTAGACGCACAGAGATGGCCTGAAGTTCTCAGCATGGAAATCCGCCATAGCAGAAAGGGGATATGAGCAGTGGCGGCTGGCCGATAGAGGGCGCTAGGGCGCCGCCCCCTTAAATAAAATTATAAAAAAAAAAAAAAAAAAAAATTAATAATAATAAAAACATCAGTATGTCAATATTTGTGTGTTTGAAATATGGAATGCACACAGTAATATGTGTAAGATATGATAGAAAATCATATTCGCAACCTTTCCTCTGCCTGTCAAACGCCTCGTCAGCTCTGGGCGATACAGAAAGTGCCCCGAGGAGGCGGGTCTACGTAGCAGTTAAGCCAATTGCTAATTTAAGATATGAATGTATGACATAAAATGTAGCTAATCAGCGATTTTAATTCGAATCCAAGGAGGGCGATTATTTTATCGCCCCAAGCTCGCCCCTGATAAAATAAGGACCGGGCTCCAGTGGCGCCATTTTTACTAGACGACAATGGCGAGCGCAAACGTTACTCCTCCAAGACCCAACCCTAACTCGGTGAAATCTCTCCTCCAAGATCCGTTTGAGAGGAGAACTTTGTCAGAGAAAGTTCGGGTGAAAGAGCTGGGCCCAGATCAACCTGACCTCTCAATCAGACAGCAGGCTAGCGAGAAAGGGAAGCAGTATATGCGCGGCTTCTCCCGTAGCTGGTACACCAGGAAGGCTTGGCTAGCTGGGTGCACTGATGCTAATGCTTTATTTTGCTTTCCGTGCTTGCTTTTTAAAACGACGGGGTCAGATTCAGCATGGACAGGTACCGGAGTGAGGGATATGAAGCACCTGTCAGAGAAGGTAAAGAAACATGAGAACACCAGGGCACACATGGACAACTCTGTAAAGCTAGCTGTATTAGGAAGGGTGAACATTGCTACGCAGCTGGATGACGGCCACAGGATTGCGGTGAGGAAACACAATGAGGAGGTGGATAAAAACAGGCACATTCTATCCGAAATTATCGATTGTGTGAAGTTCTGTGGGGCTTTTGAGTTGG